CTTGCTGATGAAAGACCCGAACAGGGTAAAGAATTTGTAGCTAAATAATCGCCTTTCGTGATAAAATTAACTATTATAATTAAAATTATGAATTGCAGTATAAATTTTTAAAAGATATGAAACTTAATGACATTCATTGTGCCGGCTGTTGCCTTCACGATAACGAATTAAAGAATCAGTTTTTATGTTTGACCTCCTCTATGAACATTATTGATGTGTATCTTTAGTTCACCCTCGTATTTTCCCATTAGTTAGATTTCCCGTAGCACAAGCATGGCTTCTATCATATAGATATATGAGAGTTAGATCTGTCGTAAGAGCTTGGCATGCTATGTAAAGGGTTCGCGTAAAAAGCCGACTATCTTACTTAATGACCTATGAGTGGCAAAGTTCCTTACTGATCATTCGGTCATTTACAAGCGGCTGAAATGGGTTTTCTGAGTCGAATCGTTTTTCTCATGCGTTTCGACGGGAGTCTGGTAAATAAGAGAGCTGTGTCGTACCTCTGTTGCTTGTGCAGATTGAGAAGTCACACCTGAGATGGTTTGGGCACTGTTGAGCATGCTTTTAGAAGCAAATGCGACACAGCTACTACTTGCCTAACCGACCTGTTGAAAGCCCCAGGGACGACCAAAGTTAACTGGGAAAAGTGTATCGAATGTCTCTGCTCCAGGCTCAGGTTTTCTTCTGCCGAAGCTTAAACTCTGGCACTTTAAGGAAAGTTCAAGAAATTGTCTGACGCTACAGCCTCAGCGACCCAAAAGAATTAGTAGTACTGGAAACTGAAACTGAGCTGAATAGGTGCTTAGAATAAAAGCAGTGGGCATCGCTGCGAAAGCATGGCAAAATCGCCTAACAGCGATTTTGTAGAGCTTTGTTCGCGTTGGCAGAAATGACGATACAGGTCAGAAAGGATGAAAAACTTTTGGATGGGATTGGATACGAATGACGGAATCATTCGTATCAGAATTGCTCTATTTCGACGTAAATGCTATCAAATAAGTAGTGACGTCACTTACCATCTGAAGGAAACGTTGCCTTGATTCGGTCGTTAGTAGCGCAAATTACTGAATAGTGTTGCAGTCAACGGATGGTCATTAAACAAGACAGATGTCATGCTCTGGCGAAATATGATGACTGAATAAACATACGAGTTTGTACAACTTTGTCACTTCGAAAGTTCCTGATGCTGCTCCATCCAAATGACGTTAAAGAAGTTATGTACCACAGAGTGGCTTGTTTATTTTTGGAATACCCAGTTAGTAGACGTCTCCTGTAAAATAAAGATAACGAGCTATATTCTGAGTAAGATGTGGGAGTAATTAGGGTTCCTGACAGTTCTTACTTTATATTGATTATATCGTAGAGCTGTGTTAAATATTTTTTGCTGCATTTTCTGTTTGGGCAATAAGTGTACTCACTCCCAGGGTTATCGGGGTTGTCCGGTTGGTAGAACGTCCCAAGTTTGAACCCCGCTCACTTTACTTGCCTTTATTCTTTCCGAGGTTGCTAAATGTGTATCACACTGTGGGAAGGAAATAGGAGATACATGCTCTACTTGCCAGACACTAAAACCAAAAGGCACTCCTGGTTGATTGCGTGGAACTGGAGATCAGTGCGCTACCAGTAAAACTTATGAAAAGAAGGGCGCCATAAACGGTCCCACTGTATAAGCTCCACAAGATAAACTTTTTATTTAAGCAGTTACAATACTTTTCTCAGTATAATCAGTCGTCGAATCAATTTGTATGTAAATTGGTGAAAAGTAGCAGAAGCGTAATAAATTATTATACAGTGTCATACGGTAAAGATTTTTGCCAGAAATAAACTACCTATACAGTAAATGAAAGTTAAAACTGATACAATTTTAGCCCACGATTCGTTTGTACAAAATACCACAAGCGACGTTCGAGGACGATGAAGAAGAGGGCGAAGACGAAGGTATGACGTCATATGAAGTTTGAAAAACACGAATTGGTTTAATTAATTTTTTTGGTGTGTATAATGATTAGTCGGTGCAGAGGCATGAGACGAATTTTGTGACTAAAATTTTGAAAGCATCACAAATTCGATAGATAGATTTGATGATTAATATCATGAGGCATTTTAGAAGGTAGGCTAATAAGTTAACGGGTTGAAGAAGCATCGCTGCTCAGCACGAATAAAAGTTGCTGAACAAAAATTGAGCAGCGAAAAAAAATATGAACATAAAAAATAAATAACGGTGAAATGCAAACGAGCCTAGCTGTAAGCAAAATTGCAGTAGCCGATTTATTATTGCAATAATGAATCAAATGACCAACTACGTTGTCTTCAGTGTTAAGAATAATTGCTCCCTTTCTTTATAAGCTCGCTCCAATAAATGAATTGCCAAGTCACATTGACAGATGTTATGCTGTATTGTACTGGAGAATGACGCCTATGCAGCTTTTGGTTGTTTCTTCAGTGATCATATTTATTGATTTTTGTGTTCTAAATGGCCAGCCCACGTATGCGGGCTTTTGTCCATTTGCTCTCTCAACAGACGTAAGCATACACAGTTGAAATTCGCCATCGCGTTCTTATTTTAATGGTTTTTCTAAGTGACTAGAACCGATGGGTGGTGAATGTTACGGGGTATAAGCCAACGTAATGACTTCCTGCCGTCTGACACTACTGCAGTATCGATGTAGATTAGCTATTTGCAGTGCAGCGGTTCTTGAAACATTTGTTGGTAAATGACAGTAATAATGAATTATTTTTATGATTACGTTATGATGGTGGTAGTGTGATGTTGATAAGTTCTTCTTTGCTTTCCATTTTCTCTGTTACTTCATCCTGCTTCATCCAATGTCATCTTGCGTTTCGTTTGTCATCGCCCCTTACCCCCAGGTGTCGTCTTCTGTTCTAAAGAAATAGCGAATGTTGAAATTATTTCTCTACGCTGACATAGCATGATTACAGACTGCGTTCGGTTCCCAAGTCGTTCTGTGTAAAATCGTCAGATATGGCTCGAAATTTTGTGCGAGTCAGCAAGGGACATTAACCACTGGTACAATTGGCACTGCATAGTATGAATTTGTGGGACGCAAGTTCTGTTGTTGCCATTGCGATTTTCGGCCTTTTTGCACAACAAATATGCAGTGTATCATCCTGTCCAGGATTAACCATTCTGTTTCTGCTCTTCAGCTTCGGAGTGAGAGAATTTTTTTCACGTTGCGCTGACTGAAAGTTGTTTTACCAGGCAGCGGTAGAGCTTATTAACTGAACAGAAATAGTAAATCCAGAACAGTTATTTTTCGCGGTTCCTCACTGATTTTCTTACTACTACGACCCCGTTTATAATTTAAGGCTTGTATGTTACGAGTTGTGTCATTTTCGTTACATCCGCAGACTTGTTTTGGTGCTTACCAACGTCTGTAACCGCCAGCGATAAGAATAAGATGTCTGCATTAGTCATCGTGGTAATCATTTTTCGTAGGATTATTTATTTTTGTTTTCAGGAACGGAGCAGGCATGAACTGTGCGAACGGTTGACGAATGCCCACATAAATCGACATAAGTTTAGAGGTTTGTTTGTT